GACCCAGAGTCAGCAGCCTAGAAGCGTCACTGGCCGTCCAGGGAACGTTGTCTGTCTGGGTTGCTAGGACCAGGCCCTGAAGATAAGGCAGGGCCTATGAACCAACCCCCCGGACAGCCCATTAGCTCCGCTCCAGGAACCCGGGGCCGTGACTCACTGACAGCAAACCAGGAGGCTGGGGCCTGACCCCTTTCCCAGCCGGACACACCTGCAGCCATCTGCTGGGCCACACCCCTGCCGACCATCCTAGAAAGAAACTCAACTCTCTCCCACAACTGCATGTGACCAGCTCCGTCGCTCTGGCGGGAGTTGCACCCTGATCTGCGCTGACACAGAGACACACAAACACGCAAACATGCACTGCACCACGAACACGTGTGCCTTTTAGCCTCGGCCATGGCCACTGCCCCTCCTCCACCTCTGGGTCAGAACCAGGCACAAGAGAAGGGACAGGAGCCAGCAACAGACCCGCCCGGGTCCCTCCAGTGTCTGGGCCACTTTCTGTGAATCGTTAGGCTGACCTCGTTCCAAAAATGTCCCTCATCCTCTGCAAGAATGAAGCACAAAACAACCAGACAAAACACCACGGAGGTGTGGGCCCTGGAGGCTGCTCTGGGAACACAGTTTGGAGGCCTGAGAGCCCCCAGCACCGGCCATGGTGCAGATGAGCCTGGCCGGACCCTCCCCGGCCAGGGAGGCCCAGGGCCTGTTTTTGCTCTTGGGGCAAGGACCTTGCCGAAGTGCCGGGAGCCAGGTCAGACTGGCCCGTGGGCCCACCCTGGAGGATGTCCTGGGCCAGTGCCCCCCGTGGTACCGGTGGGTCGGGCGTGCCCAGGGGAGATCCCGGGAAGGGCCAAGATGCTCCAGTTGTCTTCCCCAGGTTCTTTCCCTGCAACCTGGGAGGGCTGGGTGCTCCCATGGCTTCCACGGAGACTGGAGCCGTGGACCGGGCCGGAGGGCCCCTCTTTCGGAGGGGCGGCAGCTCAGGGCTGTGCGCTGGGGCCTCCACAGAGGGAGATGGGGACACTCTGAATCTGCTTGGGTGTGGCGGGGAGGGTGCAGAAGAAATCACACTCACATTGGTAGGCCTCCAGGGGCGACGCTTGCGTAGTACTGAGCCCCTAGGCCTCGACTGGAACTCCCCCAACCCCCCCACCCCGGCTCAGCCCTTCGAGGGACAAAGACAGGGCATGCTCTGTGGGGGCAGGGCAGCCAGGCACCCTCCAGGTGGACTCGCCAAGAGCAGCTTCCAAGGGGTTGAGACTCCGCCCCTTCCAAGGGGCTGAGACTCCGCCCTTCAGCCCCAGAGAGCAGAGTGGGCGGAGCCTCTGGGGGGGCAGAAATCCCTCCCTTCACCCGCAGGGCAGTCTGCCCCACACCTGGGCAGGCAGTGCAGTGACCTGTCAGCTCCGGGGAACTGGGCGAGGGCGGGGTCTCTGTGGCTATCTTTAGCCTCCTTTGCATTTGGGAAATTTCCCCCTCTTCCTACAGGGAGGTGAGGCCCTGACGCACTCCTGCCTCTTCCCGCCCAGTCGGGGTGATGAGCAAGTGGATGGTGTTAAGCGGTCCAACCCCCAGAGTGAGAGGAAGCTGTGGGGTCCCCCGGAGAGTGAGAGGAAGCTGTGGGGTCCCCCGGAGAGTGAGAGGAAGCTGTGGGGTCCCCCGGAGAGTGAGAGGAAGCTGTGGGGGTCCCCAGAGAGTGAGAGGAAGCTATGGGGTCCCCCGAGAGTGAGAGGAAGCTGTGGGGTCCCCCGGAGAGTGAGAGGAAGCTGTGGGGTCCCCCGGAGAGTGAGAGGAAGCTGTGGGGGTCCCCGGAGAGTGAGGGGAAGCTGTGGGGTCCCTGGAGAGTGAGAGGAAGCTGTGGGGTCCCCCAGAGAGTGAGAGGAAGCTGTGGGGGTCCCCGGAGAGTGAGAGGAAGCTTTAGGGGTCCCCTGGGAGAGTAGAGGAAGCTCTGGGGTGTTGGTCACGTGGTCTAAGGGCCAAGTGTCTGGCCAGGGCCACTTGCCACCTCTGGGGAATCCAGAGGCTGTGCTTCCCGAGCACAGGGACCGCGACCACCTGAGTGGGTGGGGGTGAGGCCGCTGTGATGAGGGAGGAGGGAACTGACCTTCATTCAAGCCCACTCTGAGTCAGGAATTCCATCTAATTCAGTGCTCAGAACAGGCCTCGGAGGTGTGTCTCACTGTCCTCCGGCTGTCAGGTCAAGGGACCTGTCCAAGGCCACACGGCTTGGAGGTGAGGGTGTGTGTGAATCGGATTTCGAGCTGTGTGGGGGATGACCCAGCACCCCTAGAGGCCGGAGGTCTGAACAGCAGGAGCTCAGCCATCCTTGCCCAGTGCTGCCCTGAGAGGGTGAACCTCCTCCCTGCCCCTGCATTCTGGTGCTGAGGCCGGCAGCCTGGGTCAGGACATCAGGACAAGGGAGCCGAGCAGATGTGGCCAGGGCACCCGGCGATGAAGAGTCTGCTGTTCCTGGCCTGGTTCCCGAGTGGGTGGTGCCGGCTCCTGAGGGCGGGGGCCTCGGGGCAGAAGCCAGCACTGCGACGGCCCAGACCGTCACTACCACAGTCACTACCGGAACCCCTGTCGTCCCAGCCCACCAGGGCTTCAGAACCAGGTCGCAGCCCAGAGGGCGTCCAGCTGCCCGAGGACCACACTGAGCTAGAGGTTTCTACAGGGAGGAGGCCAGCGTGTCAGGGACCCAGGGGCCCTCGCGCCTGGGGTCACTCTGGCAGGGGCAACAGGAAGGGTTGGGGACTGCCCTTCGTGGCCTCCCCAGAATCCTGTAGCCTCACCGCACCCCTGCCTGGGCCCTCAGTGCCTGTCCTCCAGCCAGGTGACACCCGCTCCCGCCCGCAGCTGGTCTCCTTGGAGACCCCTCTGCCTGCCCACCCACCACCTTCCTGCCTGGAACTTGGGCCCTCGTCCTTTCTGCCAGACTGGCTCCCTCACCGCCACCCGGCCCAGGGCGGGGACAAATGCCTTCTGAGCGCCACCTTCCTCCACTCTCCGGACCTCTGGCCACCCGCACACACCTGCACCGGCTGGTCAGGCACCTTCTCTGCCCAGTCGGTTCTGCGTCTGCTGACCACATCTGGGCCCTGTGTGTGTGCATGTGTGTGTGTGTGCGCACTGTGAGCCAGGTGGTGTTGTAGTGATGTATGAGGTGAGCTCAGCCATCCTTGAAGCAAGCCTGCAGCCATCCCCGTGGGGCAGATGAGAAACACAGGATAGACACACGCATGCACACGCACACAGGGAGTCAGGGCCACTTGAGGTCACTCCAGAGTCAGCTCTTGGCTGGTGGGTGCCCACGCACAGAAATGCCCCACACAAGTCTGGTCTCCCTGTCCTGAGCGGCACCCACATCCCCCCAGGATCTCCCGAGCATAGTGCCAGGGAACAGCCCAGCCTCTGTCCCACTGGTCACCTAAGCTGGTGAACTTTTCTGTCCCCGGCGCTGGGGAAATTCCAAGGGAGCTGGGCGGGGAATCCCTGGGATCATTCCCACCGGCAGGAGGCAGGAGCCTCCCTCCCTGCTCGAATCCTTCCAGAGAATTAGGGCCTGCCTGAGCCTCGTCCAGGGGGAGGGATCTACCTAGAAGCAGAAGCTGGAGCAGGAGTGAGCATGGAGGGACCCGTGTGGGGCACCCTCGGGAGTGGGTGACGGGAGGCACACCCCCTCGCTCCTTGTCTCTGGGTGCAGGGGGCAGGATGGAGGGTTGGGAGGGTGGAGGCCCCACAGCTGTCACTGAGCATTTGCCTCCACCTAGTGGCCTCCGACGTTCCCACGGTCCCCACAGAACCAAAGAAGCCAGGGCCAGTAGGTGGTGGCTCTCAGGTGCCCCTCACCCAGCTCCGACTCGTACCCAGCACATACTCATGAGCCCGCCTGGCCCGTCCCTCCCAGTGTAGCCGGGGCCCTGGAACTCCCCCCCACAGGAGCACTGCCCTGCCCCCCTCCAGGCCGCCCATCAGGGCCCCCCTGGCATAAGGTGCTCGAGTTGCATTTCTCTGCTCAGCAGCCTCTGAAACTCTGCAGCCTCCAGGAGGCCATTGTACCCCTCGCCTGGCACACAGCCCTTTCGGGCCCCCCTGTGCTGACCTGTCCCACCTCCCTGCCCACACTCCCACACTCTCCCCTCCGCTCCCTGCACCTGAGCCTCCCGATGTCCTTTGGTCTGTCAGGTCCGCAGCCACCGCCACACCTCCTGCCCGGAGCACCCTCCCTCCCCCTTGTCCGCTTGGCCAGCTCACTCGCCATTTCCAGGAGGCCTCCCAGAACCCCGGCTCCCTGGGCTCCCAGCGCCTGGCCCCTTGCCTGGCGGGGCACCGGCCGGGCTGCCCTGTGACGATGCCGTGCGGCTTCCCTGGACTAGAAGCCGTGGTGGCATCGCCCGCTTCTGTGTGCTCAGCGTCCAGACAGTGAGCGCCCAGGCGGGACTTGTTCCTGCAAATGGCCATCCGCCTGGGGCCGGGGGCCGAGGACGGTGGGTTAGACGTGTTTATTGTTGCTGCTTTCCGAGGGCGTTGTGTGGCCAGGAGGCCAGCAGATGGTTGCGCGCCCTCTGCGAACGGCGTCAAGTTAGGGGGCTCGACTCAGACCCGTCCCAACCGTACGCCGCAGCCTCGGGTGTCTCATCTGACAAATGACAGCGCAGTCCCTTGGGGTCGTGGGGAAGTCAGCCGAGCACAAGGGCCAGCGATGGACCAAGCGGCAGCCTCTGCGGAGGTGGGGTCCCGGCTCCGGTTCCGTCCTTACTCACCATGGGACCCCAGGTCCCCTCCGGCTTTGGTACTGGAACGGGTGGCCTCTGAGGGCCTAACGGTCCCACAAGCGGTTGCCCGTGTGGCCTGAGGAGAGTCCTGGAGGCAGCAGAGCGGGCTCTGTCCAGCAGAGGGCCCTGCCCAGCCCGTGGCCGGCAGGGTGGGAGGGAGCAGCTGGAGGCCACCCGAGCGGGCTGGCGATGCCAGACGCCTGACTGGGGGCGGACCAAGTGGCCAGCTGCGGTTCTAACGCCCCGGGCACTGGGTCCCGGCCCTCACCTGCTCTCCGCCAGGCAGCTGCCTCCTGCTCCTTGGCCATGCGGTGGCTGTGGCCGCTGGCTGTCTCTCTCTCCTTGGTGTGGGCCACAGGCCCGAGCAGTGCCTCCGGGGCTGCCCCCCTGCACCCCGACAGGCTCCGAGCCGACGCCCCGGGACAGAGGAGCCGGACCAAGAGAGGCACCGAGGATGAGGAGGCCAAGGGGGTGCAGCAGTATGTGCCCGAGGAGTGGGCTGAGTTCCCCCGGCCCATCCGCCCTGCTGGCCTGCAGCCCACGGAGCCCTCGGTGACCACCAGCCCCAGCCCAGGCGACGGCAGGGACGCCCCAGGCAGAGGGCCGGGGTCCTGGGGCAATCCGACAGGGGCGCCAGGTCAGAGGCTGCAGATGCAGAACCCCCTGTACCCGGTGACCGAGAGCTCCTACAGCGCCTACGCCATCATGCTGCTGGCCCTGGTGCTGTTCGCCGTGGGCATCGTGGGCAACCTGGCCGTCATGTGCGTCGTGTGGCACAGCTACTACCTGAAGAGCGCCTGGAACTCCATCCTGGCCAGCCTGGCCCTCTGGGACTTCCTGGTCCTCTTCTTCTGCCTCCCAATTGTCATCTTCAATGAGATCACCAAGCAGAGGCTGTTGGGAGACGTCTCTTGCCGGGCGGTGCCCTTCCTGGAGGTGAGTGTCCTGTGGGGCCGCAGCTCCGGGGCTGAGCTCAGCCGCCACTGAAGTGGGGGTGTGGGCGCACCCCCGGGGGCCCGGAGCGCAGTCTCTCTGCTTCTCCATACCGGGCAAGGAGACAAATGGGGGGCTGGCTGCGGGAGGCTCTAGGGTGAAGGGGACCCGGGGGTGCAGGGCCCGGGTTCTGGCCCAGCTGGTGTCCTCTGCGGGGCCCGCTCAAAGCTGTCCTCTATTCTGCTCTGTCCGCGGCGTCTTTCCGCCTGGATCACCGCTCCGTCCTCTGGTGTCTCCCTCGTGCCCCCGCCACTGCCCCTTCCTTACCCCGGTGTCCCGTAGAGCCCCCAGATCCACGGTGTCCACCCCCGTGAACGCAAACACGAGAAGGAAGGACCCTCACTGCACGGTCGTCACCGCTACTTCGGCTCAGCACCCTCCTCCGCCCTCTCTGAGAGGGGAGACCTGGGCTGGGTGCTGGCGCCGGGGGTGGAGTGGGGGTGCTCTGTGTCAGCCCTGCCCTGGCCCCCTGGCCCCCTGGGCTGGTCACGTCCGCTCTCGTGTCCTTGCCCCCACCCGGGGCGGTGGGCCCATGGCTCTCCCCGCTGCTCTGGTCTGCAGTCCCGTGTCCACTCCCAGCCCCGGGAGGTTCCACGTCGAGACGAGCGCCTGGCGTGGATGGGCGTGGGCGGTGCGCAGAGACGGCTTGACCAGAGCCCACAGGTGCATTTCCAGGAGACCCGGTGAGGTCCCGAGTCTGCACGGGAAATGCACTCGCAGCCCTGCACGTCCTAGCACTGTGGGGCGTCCTCACGAGCACTGGGGTGACGGGCCTGCCCGAGGAGGCTTGACCTGCCAGGGGAGAACCAGGGTCAGGCCTCAGGACACAGGTGCTGGCCCCGCTCTGTGCCTGGTCACTGCGTCAGTGATGACTTTGTGCAGGGAGGGGTTCCCTGAGGCTCGGGCTGGCACTGTTTTGCCTTCCCCCAGGGACACCCCCAGGGGCAGCCCCAACGACTCAGGCCTGAAAGGAGACCTTGTAACTGGGCCCCTGACCTCGATCACGTCTGGGCTCAGCACCAGGCGCCGCGAGAGGTCAGACAGGACTAGCGACCAGGCCCCGAGGAGCGAGTCCCTCCTGAGTCACCCGCCCTGCCCAAGCGTCAGCGGCCTCGTCCGTAAACTGGGCTGACGACAGGAATAACATCTGAATGATTCTTGAAGGATCAAGTGGTCAGGACGAGAAGAGTTCAACCGGCGGTGGTTTTCCCGGGAGTGGGCGGGGAGGAGGGCACACGGCGCTGGCCGGTGAGAGCCGGGCCCTGCCGACGGTGGTCCAGCATCCCCGGCCCAGAGACTGGCCTGAGCCCTCCTCGGCCACCCCCCGGAGGACAGAGGTCACCCGCCAGCCCTCCTGGAACGGGTGAAAGTCAGGGACAAACGCTGGACTTTACCGGAGGGGCCTCAGGACTGACACTGGAGATACTTTCGATGCAGGGAGAGGAGGGAAGAGCAGGCGATTCCGCCCAAGCCCGAGGCTGCAGGGGGTTGGGCGGCTCACAAAACGCCCAGCAGCAGTGGGGACTGTGTCCCCCCAGCCGGAGAGGGTGAGGTGTGGATGGGGGTGAGCACCGTCCCTGTGTGGTCCACCCTCTGACAGCTTGGGAAGCCTTTCTTCCTATACCCTCCCCGGCGGCCCTGGGTCTCCCTCTCGGCTCGTGGGCGACTCCCCTGTGGGTTCAGTGAGAGCCCACGGGGAGGGCTTCCCTGGACAGGGCTGGAGCGAGGGGTGTGTGTGCGTGAGCCGCGTTTCCAAGACCACGTATTCGTCGGAGGGGGGCAGGATGGGAAGACCTGTGGCTCTGAGCCTTTGTATTGACTCTGCTTCAGAGACTCCCCCTGTCTCAGGAGCAGGAGGGTCTGAGGGGCCAGCACTCACCCCCTGCCAGGGAGGCCACCTGCACGGGGCCTCGACTCTGCCCCACGGGTCACGCGTCTGCCCGAGCGCAGCTTCTCCTGAAGGTGGCTGGCTTGAGGACCCGAGGCCCTGGGGGGCGGCTGGCGTGTGCAGAGGGCTCCATGCTCTTTGAGGCTGCTCCTCCCGCCCGCCTGAGCCCCTGTCTAACCTCAGCTTCCCTCTTCCTTCCTGCCTTTGCCCAGGTCACCTCTCTGGGGGTCACCACCTTCAGCCTCTGCGCCCTGGGCATCGACCGCTTCCACGTGGCCACCAGCACACTGCCCAAGGTGCGGCCCATTGAGCGGTGCCAGTCCATCCTGGCCAAGCTGGCCGTCATCTGGGTGGGCTCCATGACGCTGGCCGTGCCCGAGCTCCTGCTGTGGCAGCTGGTGCAGGAGCCTGGCCCCTCCACGGGCACCGTGGACTCGTGCGTCATGAAACCCGCGGCCAGTCTGCCCGAGTCCCTCTACTCCCTGGTGATGACCTACCAGAACGCCCGCATGTGGTGGTACTTCGGCTGCTACTTCTGCCTGCCCATCCTCTTCACCGTCACCTGCCAGCTGGTGACGTGGCGCGTGCGGGGCCCCCCCGGGAGGAAGCCGGAGTGCCGGGCGGGCAAACATGAGCAGTGTGAGAAGCAGCTCAACAGCGCGGTGGTGGGCCTGACGGTAGTCTATGCCCTGTGCACCCTGCCCGAGAACGTCTGCAACATCGTGCTGGCTTACCTGTCCTCCGAGCTGACCCGCCAGACCCTGGGCCTGCTGGGCCTGGTCAACCAGTTCTCCGCCTTCTTCAAGGGGGCCGTCACCCCCGTGCTCCTCCTGTGTGTGTCCCGGCCGCTGGGCCAGGCCTTCCTTGACTGCTGCTGCTGCTGCTGCGAGGGCTGCGGGGGCCCCTCGGAGGCCGCAGCCGGCCCGGGCGCGGACAGCAAGCTCAAGACCGAGATGTCGTCCCTCTCCTTCCACAAGCCCAGGGAGTCGCCCCCACTCCTGCCCCTGGGCACGCCGTGCTGAGCCAGGCCCGAGCGAGGCCGGGAGAGGGGCAAGTGGGCAGCCTGGCTGGTGTCTCCGTCCCCGCGGCTCTGGCCTCTCTGCCCGTCTTGCTGCCTAGAGGTGGGCTGGGTTCCTCGTGTTGGGGTTCGGGCATGTCCGAGCCCCCTCCCCAGCTGGGCCTTCCTGCCCTGGCCCTGGCCCTGGTGGGCCCTGATGCTTGTAGGTCTTAGAACTGCCCAGAAACTCTCAGCCCACCAGCTGGGACCCAGAAGTGCAGCTGTCCCACCCCTCCCCTCCACCTTGGAGCCCGGTTCACTCTCTCCCTGCCCCCCATCCTGGAGTAGGGGGCTCTTTGGGGACCAGCCCAACTTGGCTCTTCTCTGGACCCGATCTGTCCCAGCCTGGACCTTCCTCCTCCGGCACCGTCCCCCTTCCGGAGGCTTCTCTTTCCTTCTCCTCCTCCGACATACCCCGGTTGCCCTGTCTCCATGTCCCTTAGTAGGTGACCCCGTAGAGAAACAATAAACTAGGTAGAACCACCCCTGTGCCCACTGGACTTCTTTGTGCCACGTCCTGGTGGTGCCCAGCAGGGGACTTGTGGCCTGGGGCTGAGAGGTCCTGCCCAGCCCGTGGCCCGACGGCTTAGAGGAGGGGGCAGGTGACAGAGGGCACCGAGTCCAGCTGTCCCTGGGAGTCAGGGGGTTACCAGCTCGTGCTCCCCTCAGCACAAAGCCCCTTCGAGGGCGCAGCAGCCGCCCCCCCCCCCCCCGAGCCCAGGGCTCCCAGCCTCTGCCTCTGAGACCCTGTTGTTAAGACTGTGTCGCAGCTGCGTGGCCCCGGCCTGCCCCCCTTCCCACAGAGGGGGCTCCATCTATGCCCCACAGCTCTTCCCGCGGGTCCGGCTGGGGCGTCCCACCCCCTCTGGGGCCTTAGCCCTGTTTGGACCCAGCCCTGTCTGGCGCAGGGACACCAGGAGGGACACTCAGCCCGGGTCGCCGACCACTCCCGACCCCAGAAGCTCCGCTGTCCTCAGGACCCCTGGCTTGGGCTGCTCTGGGACCCGCCGGCGAGTCTGCTCAGCAGGCCCACCTGGAACAGCTACCTGGGGCCTCAGAGGGCCTGGGGGCCCGGGCGGTGAGGGGCAGGGTGCCCAGAACCCTGGGCACCTCTCCTGCCTGCCCCTCCCACACCCCTTGTCCTCAGCTTGCCCTGTCCCCAGCCTCCTCCCCTCTCCTGGGATCTTAGCAGCCCTTGTTCTCCATCCCTGGCCCCACCCCCAGGCCTGTGACGCCAGGGAGGAGGGAGGCTGTTGCTAGGTGACGCTGTGCTGGGAGGACACCCATCCACTCCTCAGCGGGCCTGTTGCCACAGTGACGGAGACCCCAGCTTTGTCTGCGGAGACCTCAGATGGGGGGCAGCTTGGACAGGGGCCAGAGACAGGCCTGCGTGTCCTCCATGCCCTGCCCCAGCCCTAGGTGCCCAGGGACAGAGGAGGGGCCGGGTGAACCCAGGGGAAGTCTGGGATCTGGACTGAGCTGAGGATGGAGGGCGGGGGGCTGGCCGGGGGGACCCCTCAGCTTCCTGTTTGGGGGCCTCTTCCACAAAGGACACCCTCTGCCTCTCCCCGGCTGGCTGGCCAGCTCAGCGCTGGGGGAGGTGGCGCCCGGAGGCCCTGGCAGCGTGAAGCCTCCAGAACAGTCGGCAGGCCAGCGGGGCCTTGGGCCAGGGCCACTGTCCCTCCCGCCCGGCCAGCTGGGAACAATGGGGCGTTTGTTGCTGAGGGGTCCCGGGCCGGGCACAGTGGGCGGTGGACTGGAGCTGGGAGCTGACACTCACTCCCCTCGGGCAGATTTCAGCCCTCAGACCCTGGTCTCGGGTGGGAGGGGGTGACCCACGGAGCCCCCACAGCTCGTGGGCGGTGACGATCGCCTCACTTCAGTCCACCGGATGCAGCCGCTCCAGTCTCAGCTCAGCTTCGCCCTCTAAGCGGGGTGATGCCTCGCTCCCCGGGATAGTCACTCAGGAAGCCCTCGGCAGACCTGCCCCTTCCCACCCTCAGGACTTCAGCCCTGCAGGCTGGAGCGTGGGCCGGGCAGCCCTTCCCTCAGGGCAGTGGCCGCGGCCACTCCGCACACGGCCCTTCGCACGGACGCACGTCTGTTCCGTTAAGTTCCCGCGTGGCCGGACTAGGCATCGCTGTGTGCAGGCCTAGGGGGCGCCATTCCAGACCTCGCCTCGCTGGGGGACACAGGGCTCAGAAAGCCTCATCGGTCCAGAGTCCCACCCTCTGGCTCCAGGCCAGGGGCAGGGGATGGTCTGACCCCAGCTCAGCCTCCTCACTGGGGGCGTTTTTAGGAAGGTACCCTAAAATCATGGAGCTCTGTTTACCAAATTCTACCCGGATTTCCCGAACCCCTCTGGCAATGGGAATGTCCTCCCAGCCAGGTTGTCTCTATGGGGACCAGCTGACAAGGGGCTTGGACAGTGGGCGCTGCTCTGAACCAACAGGGCCAGCCTGGGCCAGGCCCAGAGCCCGAGGCCAGGGGGGTCGTCTCCCTGCAGGGGCAGGTGAGGGGAGCGTGTTCTGCAGGGGCAGGTGAGGGGAGCGTGTCCCGCAGGGGCAGGTGAGGGGAGCGTGTCCTGCAGGGGCAGGTGAGGGGAGCGTGTCCTGCAGGGACAGGTGAGGGGAGCGTGTCCTGCAGGGACAGGTGAGGGGAGCGTGTCGTGCAGGGGCAGGTGAGGGGAGCGTGTCCTGCAGGGGCAGGTGAGGGGAGCGTGTCCTGCAGGGGCAGGTGAGGGGAGCGTGTCGTGCAGGGGCAGGTGAGGGGAGCGTGTCGTGCAGGGGCAGGTGAGGGGAGCGTGTTGTGCAGGGGCAGGTGAGGGGAGCGTGTTCTGCAGGGACAGGTGAGGGGAGCGTGTCCTGCAGGGACAGGTGAGGGGAGCGTGTCCTGCAGGGGCAGGTGAGGGAAGCGTGTTGTGCAGGGGCAGGTGAGGGGAGCGTGTTGTGCAGGGGCAGGTGAGGGGAGCGTGTTGTGCAGGGGCAGGTGAGGGGAGCGTGTTGTGCAGGGGCAGGTGAGGGAAGCGTGTCGTGCAGGGGCAGGTGAGGGGAGCGTGTCGTGCAGGGGCAGGTGAGGGGAGCGTGTCGTGCAGGGGCAGGTGAGGGGAGCGTGTTGTGCAGGGGCAGGTGAGGGGAGCGTGTTCTGCAGGGACAGGTGAGGGGAGCGTGTTCTGCAGGGGCAGGTGAGGGGAGCGTGTCGTGCAGGGGCAGGTGAGGGGAGCGTGTTGTGCAGGGGCAGGTGAGGGGAGCGTGTTGTGCAGGGACAGGTGAGGGGAGCGTGTTCTGCAGGGGCCTGTTCCATTTCCAGGGTGAAGGGGAGGCCGGGAGGCGGGGCAGGGGAGGGGTGGGGCTTACTGTGAAACTGGGTCAAGATGGCCTCGGATTTGGGAGGGTGGCCGGAGGCTGGGGCAGTGAAGAGGCCACAGCGGTGGTGGTGGCAGGAAGACGGCTGAAGTGGGCAGAGGGCTGAGGGTCCAGCCTCCTGGGAAACCAGCGGCCCAGGCGGGAAGCCCCCAGGCTCTGCCCTGGGCAGTTAGCTGGCCCCAGGTGGGCTGTGGGACAGAGCCGACTCCGGCTGCAGGTGAGGTCCCCACCTGGCTGTAAGGAATCGGCCGTCCCCCTGCCATGGTGCCCCGGCCCCAGGTGGCTCCTTACACAGGCCCAGGAGCTCCTCTTGGCAGCTGCAAGCTCCCAGCTGGGCTCCAAGGCCCGAGGAGACAGAGGCACGGGGCCGGCCCTGCGGAGGTGCCCTGTGAGGTGCCGTCCTGCGCCACGACCCTCCTCCCGTGGCTGTGTGCCCTGGGCCGCCCGTGAAACCATCCACAGAGAGTCAGCGGCACCACAACCCCCAGCACAAAATTGCTAATTTATTCATGTTAGGAGGCAAAAAAATGTACAGTTACAAGAATCATCTTCCAAACAGAGGTTAATTATGAGCTGAAAAGTATAAAAAAAGGAGGTGGACCATCACTTTACAAATCATTAAATTAAACAAACAAACACACACGAAACCCAAAGAGCTAACCCCCACGCCGAGTTCTCTCCTTGTGCGACTGCAAAATGAGAACAGAAAGTGAGGTGCCCATGGGGGTGAGGGCCTGGGAGGGGCCTGGGCACGGGCTCCTGCCCCGGGGCCTGGTGGTCTTGGGCCCGGAGGCTGGGGGCAGAGAGGGGCCTCTGAGGCTCTGCCAGCATGTGATGTGCCAGCAGGCACAGCCGGACAGGGAAGTGGGGGTGCACAGACACGGGGTGGCCACCAGTGCCCAGGCTGGGACCTGCCCCAAGTGCCGGCCTCCACCCCCCCGGTCTGGGCCAGCCCGAAACCCTTCTTCCCTCCAGACCGCCTCTCCCAGATCCCGACGGGCCCCTGCAGCATCGAATGGTTGATTTTAGTCTTTGCTTAAATTAAAAAATTAAAATATATATACATATATATACTGTACACACAGGACAAGAACAGAAGAGTGTTGAGAAGGCAGGACAGGCGTGGGTCAGGGGTCAGAGGTCAGGGGGCCGGGGAGGGCAGGGCTGGGGCCAGGGCTGTCGGGGGAAAGTCGGGGGTGGGGGGACCGAGGGAAAGGGGGCCACGAGAGGTTAGGGGTCCAGAGGGAGTGACTTATTTTACAATAAAAACCGGAGTTCAAACCTCAGCAGAACAGGACTCTGGGATCCCCAGAGGGCCCCTCCCCACACCAGTGACGAGGGTGGGCTTAGGGGGGACGGTGGGGTGGGTGGGGAGCTCGGCTTCAGGTTTGGATGGTGGACCCCTGGTCCGAGGGGGAGGGCCGAAGTCTCAGCTTCTCCGTGACTTTGAGTGTTGAATAAGCCACTGTAGGGTGATGTCTGGAAGGGGACGAGAGAGAAGGTGACAGGTCTCCCAGTGCTGGGCCCTGAGGAGGCCGAGAAACCCCTGGGGGGATGATCTTAGCCCAGGGCTCCCCAAACTGCAGCCAGCATCAACCCAGGGGCTCAGAGCCCAGAGCCCTTCAGCTCTGAACGGCCCCAGACAGGTGGCCGGGGCATCTGGGTGCTGAGTCAGCAGGAGGGGCCTGGGGAAAGACCTGTCCCACCCGGGACATTACGGTGGGAAGCCAGGCCCAGGCGGGAGCCCTCTGCCCAAGGCCACAAGTGGTGGACGGCAGAGCAGGAAGTTGCCCAGAACAGGGCCTCCCCCGCCTGTCCTCCACTGGAGGACCAGAGAACCACCGTACTCCGGCTTAGAGGCAAGTCCTGGAGAGCAGGCTTTGGGAACCACACTGAATCACCCAGAAGGGCCCGCCCCTGCAGAGCACTCGGCAACCCCCACCCGCGTACCAATGTTGTCTTTCTCTTTGCAGGAGATGGAGTAGCAGCAGATCTCTCGGTCCTGGATGGCGGACAGATTCCTGAGGGAAAGCAGAGAAGACTGCAGGGCCTGGGGCCGGCCGGGGAGGGAGGCTGCCGCGCAGGTGGGCTCTGCTGCCACCCTGTGGCCGGCCCTGAGAGGGCAGCTCGCCGGCGGGCTCTCCCGCGCCTGGGGATTGGGGGAGCAGGGCAGGGGAGAGGCGTCACCCGACTCACATTTTCTCAATCAGCTCCTTCTCATCCAGTGCTCCCGGGAGGTCTCGCTTGTTCCCCAGGACTAAGACCTACAGAGAAGGCAGAGCAGCCCAAGTCCAGGGGGCTGTGGCCAGGCCTCTGCCCGCCCACCCTGTGCTCCGCCACCCTGTGCTCCGGCTGCCTGCCCTCCACCCCACCAGGCTGCTGACCGGGATCCCCTGCAGCTGGGGCTTGTCTAGCAGGTTGTGCAGCTCATTCTTGGAGGCCTCGATCTTCTCCTGGTCAGCGGCGTCCACCATGTACCTGAGGGAGCCGGGGTGGGACAGCATTGGGACACCACAGGCCAGAGGGAGCGGAGCTGTGGCCCCAAGCAGAAACCCCTGTGCCTGCAGCTCTCTGGGCGAGGGCCTGGCAGGGTGCGAGGGAGGCTCTTGCCCTGATGGACCTGAACCCTGAGGCTCTCCGAGGCCTGTGTCCTGTCCTCCAAAGTCCCCTCTAGTGGCACAGCGTGGGCCCCTCTGCTGGGAGTCCCACCCCCCAAAGTGCCCCCGACAGTTTCACAGGAAGGTCCAGGGGACAAGGCAGTGGCAGGCCCGGGAGGTTTCCCTGCAGTGAGATGTCTTAAAAGTCAGGTGGAATCCAACAGGAACTGAACTTCCGTTTGGGCAGCTACACTCAGGGCGAGGGAATGAGCCACTTCAACCACGCACAATGCAGGCCAGTGGTGACCGGTGGGGGGACACAGAGAGAGAGCAGCAGGGCGGTGGCGCCCGTGGGGCAGCCAGTAGGCAGGCTGTGCCCAGGCCGCTGGCCAGGAGGCAGGATTAGCACTAATCAGCTCGGTGGGGGCCTGCAGGTGGCAGGTGGTGAGGCCGGGCTGGGACCAGGGCCGGCGGGAGCCCTGGCCGCACACTCACACGATGGCGCTCACTCCTCGGCAGTAGCGCTCCCACATGCTGCGGAAGCGGGGCTGTCCCCCGATGTCCCAGAGCTGAACGAGAGGAGGGCACAGTGGTCTCAGCAGCAGGCAGGCAGCCAGACCCCCCTGCCTCCCAGGCCCCTCCGCACACACCCTGCCCGGATTCCCCTGCTCCTCCGGCTTCCTCCTTCCGCAGCGCCCACCTTGATGGTCACGTTCCCCTTGGTGATCTTCCGCATGTTGAACCCCACCGTGGGGATCATGTCCTCGTTGAACTGCCCTGACTGGAGGGAAAGGTCAGAATTGGAAAAGGGGCAAAATCGGCAGGACCCACAGAGAATGGACGCCTCCCGGGGAACGGCAGAGGGACAGGTCAGCTCCTCTGCGGTCCCCCTGCTGGTCACGAGCCCCCGGGGACCAGCTCAGGAGCACCCCCCGGCGTCCACCCTCACCTGGATAATCTGACACCTCCTTCGGGAGAGGACCACATCCGTACCACCAGCACCAGCACACGTCGTTGAATAATTAGGAATGGGCTGTAATTCTATTTCCCACAACCCATTTTCAAATTCTAGTCATTTTCCTTTCTCCCCTCAAAACTGTCTCCCAGAGCTCCAGATTGTTCCAAAGTAGCCAGGGGCCTCCCGTAAGGCCAGACCAAACCCCTCAAGGTCATCTCCGCGTTCACACGTAGGACCCTCCCACTGCCCCCAGACACAGGCTGGGGCTGACCTAATGGAGTCCCCAAAGGTGACACCTTTACACCCCACTTCCTTCTCCCAGGCGGTAGGAATTGTTCATCTCAGGTCACATAAGGAGGTTGGGCTCTGACCATTAGCAAGGTGTGGGAGATGGTGGTCTCTTCGAGCTCCTGAGCCTGCCCCCCCAGGCCCCCCTCATGAGCAGGAATCCCCCGACTCATTCAGGCCCGAGAGCCCAGGACCCCAGTCCACAAGAGTGAGGGCTCCCACCTTGGGGCCCACGTGGGCTGAGACCCCTGACCCCAGCACTACACAACCTGTGGGCACCTGACCCACCCTCTCTGCAGAAAGGGCCTCTAAGTTCTATCAGGTGTCAACGGTCCGAGAGCCCAGCCCCTCGCGGTCAGAATCACAGGGAGACAGATACCCTAAGGAGCTGCTCCTTGTCAGGTTGAGTGGGGGCCACACATCCTACAATCACCCAAATCCCAGCTGGTGCCAGGCAGGGCGAGGTGCCTGCTGGACCAACAATGTATGTCCACTCCATCCCCAACCCGGCCAGAGAGGACACAGCCCAGTTAATGCGTACCTCCCGTCCTGCGGGAGCTGAGGCAAGACCCTGGAACCTCCGGCCTCAGTGTTTCCTTCTATAAAATGGGGGCAGGGCTTTGGTTTTGAAAAGATTGACGAATAAGGGTCACCAGAGCTTGGCAATGTCGATCCAGCACAAGGGCCGGTCACTGCTCTTCAGAAACTAGAGGACCCACAGGCTCCCAAGAGATGAAAAGCCCAGCCTGGTGGACGTGACCTTGGGCGTCCGTGGCGCGGTGAGCTGGTGCTAATTGGGAACCTGGTGAGGGCTTCCTGTCCCTGCTCATGCCTCCCCCTTTCACAAGCTCCTTACTGATGGTCAGACGTGGCCTGCGGTCAACCACAGTCCAAAAATATTAAGGGGAAACTCCAGAAATACACAGCTCGTAGTTTTAAATCGTGCGCCATTCTGAGCAGCGTGATGAAATCTCCTGCCATCCCATTCTGTCCCGCCTGGGTCATGAATCATCTCTTTGTCCGGAGTCTCCAGGCTGTACGTGCAGGACAATGAGATACTTTGAGAGGGAGAGACCACATTCATGGTCCTCTGATTTCGGTCTTGGTTATAATTGTCCTATTCTATTGTTAGTCGTTGTCTGTCTCCGACGGTGCCTCGTTGACAGTACACTTCTCTGTAGGTGTGTGGGTACAGGGAGAAACACGGGAAAGCCTGGGTTTGCTGCTATCCACGGTCTCAGGCATCCACCGGGGTCTTAGCATGTATCCCCGGCAGGTAAGGGGGGGCTGCTGTGATGCTGAAGTCAGCTAGTTCAGCCTCTGGTCTGCACCTTGAAGCCCCTCTGACCCTTCCACCCTGGGTGGGCTCCCACTCTCCCCAAGTTCTCTAGAGTGAGTCGGATATCCAGCTTCCCATGGCTGCTACCCTGGTTCCTACCCTTCCCCTTGGGCACCCCAAGGCACACTTAACTATTTGAGAACAGCTCTCTCTTGTCCCTCAGGCAACACCCCCCCTACTGTCTAGCATCATGTTTTCAGAACTCAGAAGATGAGTTTCAGGTTCCCAGAAGCATCGCTGGTAGTTTTTCCGGCTCACATTGGATGGGCTATTCACAGACCTCACACAGGGAGAAAACCAAACCGAGAAAATGCCGAGGCAGGCAGGCCAACCACACTAGGAACTGAGATAGTCGGCCGGCGGTGGGCTCGCCAGGGGCTTCGTTTCTCTGTGAGACACTCTCCAGGGGTCACGCGCGGGGTGGGCAGGGCACACAGGGGCGCCCAGGAGTGACCGAGGCGGAACCCCAAGGCAGCCGCGGGTGGTGTTCCTGGGAGGACTCTTTAAAGGGACGCCCGCCTGCACTTTGGGATGCGGGCACTGGAGGACGGACTTCCTAGCGAAAGGGGGGTGTGTGTGTGGACTGGACAGGGGAACCGACCCTGTGCACCCCAGACACTCCTGACCCTGACAGTGGGACCTGTGACCCTTGGGTTCTGCTCCCGACCTCCCACAGCTGCTTCTCTGGATGGGATGCCGGCCTAGGGGAGAGCCTCCTGGCCAGGAAGTGGACCCATTGGGGTACCCACAGCCTCCACAATGCTCCATGAGAGCTTCCTGGGCACTGAGGGGCACTAGGCTCAGCCGTCAGGGCAGCGGCCGTACCCCAGAGACATCTCCCGGAAGCCGAGCCACCCAGCCCTGCTGGATGAGGGTCAGGCACTGTGCCCCTGCCCAAGGAGCCCAAGAGCCCAGGCCGATGCCAGTACTGACTGTCCGACTCCAGGGCCAGAGCCGGGCAGACAGGAGCCCAGGGGCCCATGCTGGCTCAGAAGCCATGGTGTCCAAAAATCCAGCATGGCCTGGAGATCCCGCCCGGGCACAGGAAGGGGCAGAGGTCCTCTGCAGAGCAGGCTCAGAAAGGAAGCCAGCGCCCAAACGCGTGATCCCAGGGTGGCTGTCCCCCACCTTCCCGGGGCGCTCTGTCTCAGGTGATGCTCCTTTTGGGGACATGTCAGGCCGCGGGGACCTAGGCTGGCTGGCCACATTTCTTGGCTGACCTGTCTCATCAGCGTTTTTGGCCGGTCTCTGGCCAATTCACAGTTCTCAGAACCCCCAGCTTGGGGGCTGGGACCGGGCCCTGGACAACGCAGCCCTGCACCAGCGGTCCTGAGCCCGGGCTGGAAATGCAGGCCCCAGCCATGACTGCAGCCTCAGCTCACACCACAGCGCTGGCTTCCCCTTTTTCTCCGACAGACTTTAACTCCTTCCCCACCACGCCCCTGGCACTGGGTCTCCCAATCGCCCGCTTCGTCCGACTACGGAAAGCCCTCAGGGCCACTGTCTCCTGCGGCCCCAGAGTGGGCAGTGCCCCTCCAAGTCATCTCTGGTCCCAGCACCTCCTCCGGTAACTTCTCGGCCAGGCGGGGCCTCCCAAATCCCTGTTCAGTGCCATCCTCCCAGGAACCCCCGCCAGAATCCGCGGGTGGGGAGGGGTTCGTGGAGGCGGAGTCTGGGCTGGAGCCAAAGGCCTCAGATGATTCCACTACCCCGGGGGGGGGGGGGGGGGACGTTCCCTCCCCCTCAATAGCGCCGGGTCTTCCTCTTCCAGCAAGAAGGGGTTAAAACCTCAGGGTGGGGCTGGCCTGGCCCCGGCCCCCTCCCGAGGCCCTCGGGCCGCGGGCGGCCACCCTCCGCTGCCGGCAGCAGGCCCGGCACTTTCGCTCCGTCATGCCCCTTGCGCGGGGGCGGAGGGCCCGTCTCGGCGGGCAGAGGATCCCTCCGGCCTCGTGACCCCTCGGGCCGCGGGTCCTGGGCACCAGCCCGGTCCCTGGTCCTCCGTCCCCACCGTGCCATCCCCGCCCGGGGAGGGGGGGCCGGTCGCGCGCCCCCGGGTCCCCACGGGCCGAGCTAGGCCCCAGGCGCCCGGCCGCTCCTCCCCGCGGCCCCCGGCTCCCGGGGCGGGGCGGGCGGGGACAGGCCGACCCCGCGCCCCGCGCCCCGCGCCCCGCGCCCCGCGCCCCGTACCGCGATCACGTTGACGAAGGTGGTCTTGCCCGAGTACTGCAGCCCGACCAGCGTGAGCTCCATCTCCTCCTTCCAGAACAGGGCCTTGAACCAGTCCAGCAGCTTGTTGAACAAAGCGATCATGGTCGCTGCGCTCGCTCGGCCGGGGCGGCCTCGGTGCGCCGGGTCCGCGGGGCTCGGGCGCGGGACTACTCGCGGCCGGATCGGCTCGCCGCTGGGTGTGGCCTCGGCGCCTCCTCCGCCGCCGCCCCCCGCGCGCCCGGAGCCGAGCCGGGGCCGCGTCCTGCTCGCGCCCGAGCGCGCGCGCCTCCCGCCCGAGCGGGGCCGGGGCGGGGTGCGCGGGGCCCGAGGGCTCCGGGCCGGGCCTGACCGGCTACGGCGTCCAGGCCACTTGGGGAGCAGGGACTCGTTTTATTTGCTCCTTTTCTGGGCTGTCGCACCTGCAAGCACCACCCCTTCCTGCCTAAAGGGTGGTGGGCCTGGGGTGGGTGAGGTCCCCGGAGAGCAGGAGCATGTGGCCAGGGGAGAGGGTGGTTCGCCCACTTCCCAGGACGGGAAGACCAGGCCTCTGTGGAGGGGAGGACCCGGAGGCTTTGTTCCCGAATCCCTGCCAGTGAGCAGCTCTGGGGGCCAGTTCCCTCGCTGGCGTGCACCCCCGCGTGGGCAACGCCCTGTTTGGGTGGTCTCCTACCTCTTGTTCAGTTTACCAGAACCATGTGTTTAGGAGCTTCTGGCCCAGAGTGAAGTAGATGTTTGAGGATGATGCTGAATTTTACGAACATCACTGTGATACTTAGAAAAATTATGTGGGGTGGGGAGGGTCTGGGGGGGTCCAGTGAGAAAGGAGGGGGGCAAGGGAGAAACCTGGCCTGTTTTGGTAAAAGCCAGTTTTCTTCAGGAGGCCTGCTAGGATGCTGCTGAACCTGGGGCTGCCTGTACCCCGACAGGCGCAGGCGTCAGGGCTGCCCCCAGCCCATGCCAGTGCTCCCTAGCACTTGGTTGTCACAGGTGCTCACGCCGCCTGTTTTAGTCCCAGGGGCATAAACGGTCAGTGTCGACCATCTCTGTCACACTAAGATGAGCCCAAATGATCACACAGTCGTGGCCCAGCATAGTATTCCGGATTATTAAGCGTCATCTACTAGTCTGCCCTTCCCAGATCCCTCTGTCTCCTAAGGTACACCCTGGTCCCTAACTGGATTCAGTTTACTCTGCGTGTGTCCCCAGAAGGGCTAGGAAAGCGCAGCCCCTGGACCGCAGCCGCCCTCTCCGCTCTGTGTCGCTGTGCAGAGGCCCCCGAGGCCCGAGAAGAGAGTGGAGATGGGATGAAGCAGCCATCTGTAATCTTTATTCCCCACTCCGTCCCTCGCCAGAGCTGCACCCTCCTCGTTCTGGAACATGGTCGCGGCCACCTGCCCAGGGAGGGGAGCTGTGGGCTGTGGTTTGTAAGATGGCTTCTCTCCTGGCCGCATCCGACCTCCAGGCGGGATCGGGCACCTGAGAACTCACGGCCCAGCTTCACAGGGAGACAGCTGTGGGGAGCCCCCCCACCAGGGCTGCGAGGAAGGAGGGGTCCCTCACTAAGGCCAGGCAGCAGCATGAAGAAAACAGTCTCCGTAGCACTGTGTGGTGGTCTTGATTGCAGATGCTGGGCCCCCCTCTGAAGGAGCTGGGTGAGGGTCTGTGGGCACAGAGGCAGGGCAGCCCTCTGGGCCTCCAAGGGGTCCCCACAATTTCCCTCTTCCAGAGACTTCAGCCGCCTGGCCTGTGGCTCGGGAGGCTGGGAGGCCGGTGTCCTCACAGACGAGGGGCGAGGAAGCATGTCCCCGCTGGGAGGCTGAGAATTTGACTGGAGTCAACCAGGCCTTCCTGCGCTGGCATTTGGTCCGTTCTCGCCGGGCCCAGGTGGAGACGGTCTTCCCAGCCCAAGAAGGCAGTGCAGCTGGAGTGGTTTCCGATTGTTTTCCTTCATTGCAGCAAAGCACGGACTGTCCCTGTCGTACACGCAGAGGCTGAAGCTCAGAGGGCACTTGGGCACCTCTCAGATCTGTTGAGATGCCAGCTCCTGTCCTTAACTTCCAAGAGACAAGGAGGTCCCCCCTGGTGTTCACGTGGGGCCACTCGAGGAAGCAGAGGAGTGGCCCGTGGTGAAGACCTGGGGCCTGGCTGTGGTTTGACTGATCAAGGGCCTGTGACCACACACGCTTGCTGAAGGGGCAGCCCTCTCCCACGCCCACCCCGGGGGCCGCCAGGTCGAAAGGCCCACTTTTCCCAGCCCCACGTTTCCAGGCTTGGAGGAAGGAGGCACCTGGACTGGTGTAGGGCGCCAGGGGTCAGGGACTGGGCTCTCCCGGCAGCTGGGCAGCATACAGAGCCAAGGTATCGTGCAGAAACTGGTACTGCTCCGCGGTCTGGATCATGCCCCCCCTGTGGGGACAAGCACACAGACCCCGAGTCCTGGGGGCCATCCTGACTTCCTCAGGCAGCCTGTCTGCCTCCTACTCCTTGATGCCCCTCAGACCTTCTCCCTACGGGCGCCCCCTGCTGGGGCTGGGCCAGAAATATTCCTGGGTGCCAAGGTCTCCTCTTCCCAATAATCTTAAAAGTGAAAATAATACCCCCATACATATATATAGTAGGTTCTCGTGTTCCAAAACCACGGTCACTCGGGTCGGCTCAGTCTTTGGGGCATCTCTGCAGACGGGGCCACTAATTCTCTCCAGAGCCAGGGCCCAGGACATACAGTAACAGCTCCAGTCCTCTGTCTGCAAGTCCAGCGACCTTCTGTGCACCGCCTAGTCTCTGGAACCAACCCATCCCATCCCCCCACCTTTGTTCTGAGTAGGGGGTAGAAAAACACAGACAAGAGCTAACAAACAGGAAATAATCGAAGGCTCGGGTAAACCCACGGGGTGGCAGAGTGACTTCCAGGCGCCCAGGCTGAAGCTCTGGACAGAGAGTGTCCAGGGTGTCGGTCACCAAAGAAACAGCCCTGCAAGCGGAGGCCCTTTCTTTCCCGCAGGAGGTGCTGGGTGGCCGTGTGCCCTCAGGGCTCCGACCCCGGGAGGCAGGAAGCCCACTCAGTGTCCTCGGTCCTACTCACACCCACGGACCCACCTGTCCAGCCGTAGCTGGCACACGATGCCCAGAATGTCCACTTCCCCTCGGGCCTTCAGCTGTTGACAGCCTATCCTGGTGGCGATGAAGCAGCCGGTCCGGCCGATCCCTGCACTGCATGTAACCAGGGAGGGAGCAGAAGGTCACAGGTGACCAGGGAACGTGGGGGCCAGGCCCTGACCCATAGAGAAAGCAGCAGGAACGAACGCACTCTCTTTGGGGGCTGGGGACCAGGCAAGGGAGGTGGCGAGGCCTTGGTGGGTTGCAGCCAGCCCTGGATGAGTTACGTTTCTCACTGGCTCACTCTGTGCCTACAAGGTGGACCTCAGGTCCCTGCGGACGTTCGACGAGGTCTTGACAGCCGTTCCAACTGCCTGCCCACGCTGGCCTTGCTGACCCCGAGCCTCCTTATCTGCCCATGACTTCCTCCCAGCAGGCTTCGCAGCTGTGACACCAGCCGCACCCCACCTCACGTCCCCCCACGGTTCTCTCTCTTGTCTTTCTTTCGAAATCTTCTCAGGCCTCCTTCTTAGGAAGTCTTCCCTTGTGAACCCCTGAGGGAAGCCACTGGCCACTTCCCTGTGCTGAGGTCCAGGGGCCCCCTGTGTCGGGGGGCATGAGCCCCTCTGTCTGTCCCTTTGCCTCAGTGTTCGGCTTTAGGAAATGCACACCCGGCTGGTGTCCTTACTGTGTGCGTGTGCCCTGCATGGGCACCGCTGCAGCCCAGTTCACTTGTTACTTTGTAGCCAGAGTATTCCCTGTAAATGGCAGATCCAAGTGTCTTTGTCGGTCCAGTGAGGGCCCCTCAGCATCTCGTCACTCTCCCCTCCTGACCTCCAGACCCCCGACCTCTAACTACTCCCCACGTCAATTTGAAGATCTCCTCGCTGGGCCTTTGCAAACGCTGCTGCATCTGCCTGGAACATGCCCCCTTCCCTGGTTACCTTTCAGGTTTCAGCTTAGCTTGGACATCTTTTGTCCTGGAAAACCCGCCCTGGGCAAAGTGAGCTGGGCGGTGTGGAGGGCGGGCCAGTACCTGCAGTGCACCACAATGGGCCCGGTGCCGGCAGGTGTCCCCGGGTTCTCCTCCACCTCGGCCACCAGGCGCAGCAGCGGCCCGGCCGATTCCGGGGTCTGGTGGTCAGGCCAGGCCGAGAAGAGGACATGCTTCACTGACCGGCACTCCTCCTGGTGCTGGCAGGGGGACGAGGCAGGAGACAGCGTCAGGGTGGAGGGCACTGTCAGCCTTGGTCCCCGGTGCCCTCCCCTGGCCGGCGTGACCTGGGGTGGTCATGCACCCTGAGCCAGGAGCTCAGCTCTTTTCCGGCTCTCACACTCCCCCCCCCCCTCGCCCCCGGAGTGCCAGCAAGGAACCCTGGCCAGGAGAGGGACGGTCCTGTTCTGGCACCAACTAGCACGAGACTTGGGCAGGTCCCTCCAGCTCATTTTCTTCACCGAGAAAACGCGGACAATGATCTCTCGCTGGTTCTCTTCCCGGGAGGCGGGAGGGCAATGAATCGACAGAAATGCTCTGTGACCATAAAACACTGTCCAATAACACAAACCACTTCGAAGCACCTTCCACGTACTGGTGGCTGTGTTCATGGACGCCCTGCCCTGGGCCATCCGGACAGGGGTGGGGGAAGGGGTGTCTCCCTGCTGCGTCCCCCTTGGTTCCTCGACTCTGCCCTGAGATCGGTACCCACATTGCCCTGTCCTCGGTGCCTCAAACACTTCTTGTGGGTGTGGGTCCAAGAAAGGTTAGGTGAGTACATCTTGGCTCCCAGTGGTGGGCCCTAAGTCCCCGAGAAGCTGGTGGCCCCGCTGCCCATGGCTCAGGCCCGTACCTGGATGGTGAGCTGCCGCACAGTGTATTCTGGGAGCTCTCTCTCCTCCTGGATGCGGATCCGGAAGGGCCCGTAGGTGTCCTCATCTGTGGGCCAGTATAGGACACATTTCTAGGAGGGAGGGAGCTGGGAGTCAGAGGGGGAGGGGCTATCAGCTGGGCAGGGCCAGGTCAGCAGAAAGGGGAATAGGGCGTGAGGAGGGGCCTGTAGGTGAATTGCTCAGCTCAGCCCACATTCTGGCTGGATGGCCTCCGAGGGGTACATCTCTGGAACTTTTCTGCGAGGGGGGAGCTGGGCCAGCTCCCCGGGCAGCTCTCAGCCGCCCTGAGTGTGCGTCTGAGTTCGTCAAGGACTGTGACTCTGCCTCCTACCTCCTTGGTCTCCCGGAGCTGAGTGAGCATGACAATGAGCGGCACTTTCTCCTGCCACACCATCTCCCAGAAGTCCGACACCGTGTTGCGCATGGGGCCCTGGGTGGCGATGTAGGCCTTCTCCTGCCCGTTGTAGCCCTGGAGAGGTGGGTACACGTGAGAAGGGCGGGGCCGTGTGAGGAGCGCTCTGCTCTGGGGAGACCTGGCTCTGCAGGTCCCAAGATCAGGCTGAAGCAATGAGCGTGCAGTGTGGACACACACACACACACATATGCGTGTGTACATGTAGACATGCACATGGACACACGTGCACCACCAGAAGCACATGGTGGAAAACATGTGGGTTCTGGAGTGAGGACCATCCAGGCTCAGACCCCTGTCCTGCTGCTGACCGGCTGTGCCCAGCGTCCGTGAGCCTCAGCCTTCTCGTCTGCGGACTGGGCATAACCTCTACGGTGCAGGGACACCGCGTTGGTTAGAGCCAAGCGTCCTGAGAGAGTAGCACGTGCCACGTCCTCTTTGACTGCTGCTCCCTCTCCCCTGACACAAAACACGGAACTGTGTGTGTTGAACGAGTGTTTCACTTGACGTATTACTTTCATGCATTTAGTCACCAGGGGAAGCACAGTCTTGCCAGCCCTCTTCTCTCCCCTTCGGGGTTCTCAGCCTCCTGCTGCTCATGAGGACGGTGAGATCAGCTCGGGTCACCTGGTTCCTGCTGGCAGGTGGGGGTCCTGTTCCCAGGGTCCTAGCCTCACACTTTTCCTCTCGGCACCTGGCCGCTGTGCTACCACTTCAGGCCCCTAGGGGGCGCTGTTGCGCACGCAGTGTTTGGGGCCCCGCTGAGCAGAGCTGACCTCACCTCCTGGTTCACGGCCTGATGGGAATTATGTCCACAAAGGAGGGGCCGCGGGGGCAGGTGAGAGAGAGAGGGGGAGAGAGGGAGGGACAGAGACCCCATTTGTGCCGGCACCTCCCATGCAGGCTCATCAGCCCTGGAGCCACTGGTCCAGGCCCCCCCACCGGCCTCCTCCCCTTCGGAGTTGGCAGGGATGAGGTGATGGAAGGGGTTCAGGAGACTTGGGGCCCCTTCAGCTTGTTTAACAACTACTCTATTCCTTGGGGGTAGCATTGGGTTTAGTATCTGGGCCGCCTGGCAGGACAGCTGTGAGTGGGAGACCTCCACCCCCAGGGGAGATACTCCTGGGGGTGCCCTCAAACACCCCGCCCTCACGGCCGCCAGCCACTCACTCGGATGTAATTGGCATTGATGTAGTCTCCGTCTTCTTGGCTCTGTGCCCGGCCAAGACAGACTCGGCTCTGGGGATCTAGGAAGTCAAGTCAGCAGAGGTCAGAGGTCAGAGGTCAGGAGGTGACCTGAGACTGCAAACTCCGGCAGGGCCAGAGAGAGGAGAGGCCTGTGGTCACCCTAGCGCCTGTGTGTGTAGCTTGCGCACTGTTCTCTGTGTAGACAACAGGGAGCCACCGTGTTCGGGGCAGTGGAGCGATGGGGTCAACGCCACCCTCGGGGGAGGAGGAGCTGGGGAGCAGACACTGATGGATGTCCCTGTGGCGTGTCAGGGGGCGGAAAGGAGATGCTGAGGAGGAAGTGGGTCTGAGGGCGCACACGGGGTTCCGGTGAGTGGGTTGCCTAAAATCACACGGAGGCCAGTGCATGTCCGTGAGGGCCATCCCAGCCCCAGGCCCAGCAGGCTGCGCACGGGGAAGGGGGCCTCGGTGCCCGCCTGGCTCTGGGCAGGAGGGACCCGGGTGCCGGGTGACCCAGGCACAGGGCCCCTCTCTGGTGGCTGCGGGACTGGTTACGGCCAGGAGCAGAGCAGGGCTGCTCCCTGGGAGAGGGGACTGGGCAGCAACCCGCGCTGAGCCCTCCAGACTGGCCACGGGGCTGGCCCAGTAAGGCTGCCCGGAAGCGGGGGGGCCGGGAGGGAGCATGTCCATGGCTGCTCCCAGGCCTGCCAAGCTCACAACCCCAACCTCCACCTGCCCCGTCACTGTCCCCTGCCCCCTGCTCAGTCTCTGGGAGCCATCCCGAGGGTGCTCGACCCCGCAGACCTGTGCTGGAGTTCCCCACGGGGGGGAGAGGAGGGAGGTTTGGCACCATTAGCTATGTGACCTTGGGCGAGGTCTCTGAGACTCAGTTTCCCCATTTGTAAAACAGGAATAGTAATCCTGGAGCACCAACATGGGGGGTCATTGCGAGGGGCCCCATAAGCACCAGGTGTGGGAGCTTGGTTCCTATCGGTTGTGGTGTGGCTGTGGCTCTCGTCCACCCCTGCGTGTGTGTTGGGGTGTTGGCGGAGAGCAGAGGCCCTGTGTGCGCTTGCTGGCTCTTCCCTGGCTGAGCCCATGTGTCCTGCCTTCTGAACCCCTCCGGCCCAGGGAGAGTGCCGCCCCCTCGCTCCCCACCACAGTCCTTACTTGGCAAGATGGTCTTGTATCGGTCCTTGGAGGCATGGCCCGGGATATCCAGGTCTTCGGGGTTGACAAAGTTTGGGGGGATCTTCTAGTGGGGGAGGACACACGTGAAGAGCCAACACCCAGCCCAGCCCCTGTCCCCTTCCTTCCTGGTGGAGCTGGGTGCTCGGCCCTTCCTGGCAGCTGCCAGCAGGTCGGGTGGATGGAGGGCAGAGGGAGCATGGGGCCCTGTCCTCCCTGGAGCCCTGGGGTTCTCTGTCCTAAGGCGGAAGAGGAGGCCCGCCCGCCATGCCCAGGTGGTGCCAGCGGACTGCTCCCTCAGAAGGGCAGGTGGACCCCCCGTTCTTACCAAGAACTCCTCTTCCAGCTGCTGGGGGCTGGGTGGCTGGTGCTGCAGGACCCAGCGGGTGAGGGGGTGACCCGCTGTGCGCAGGAAGTGCAGGGTGACCTCCCGGGGTGTGCTCACTGAGCAGATGGGCTCCACAGTCCCCAGGGACCCCACGTCCAGCACCAGAGCCACACTGGAGCCCCGCCTGCGGACAGACAGCCAGCACCTGCTGAGCACCCGGACTTTGCTCCGCTTACAGCAGCTACTGTCCCAGGGCATGTCCGAGGGGGCCTCCCCCGTGCTCCCGACCCCGGGCCCAGTGAGCCCCAGGGCTCAGGCCCTTCTCGGCTCTTCTCCCTCGTCAGCCAGAACAGGTGACCGTGGGCCCAGCCGCTCTCCAGCGCCACCTGTCCCGACCTGGCCCCAGAGCTTGGACCTACATCCAGACCCAAGAGACCCTTTTCCAGGGGTCCCACCACCTCACCTGGGACCAAGACAAGGTTGGGAGTAGGGATAAGGTCGACTTGAAACTCTGTGCCCAGACATGCAAGTGACATGCAAATGACATGCAAATGAGCACCTGGGTTTCCTCTCCAGAGGCATCATAGCTGAGGGCCCCCTGGACTCAGCTTGAGGGCCGGAGGGTGAGCAGAGAGGACACGGGGCTCGGCCGGGAAGGGTCTCACCTCTCCTGCAGCCGCACGTGCTTCTTGGCTGGCGCTTTGGCAGGGGCAGGCTGGGTCATGCTGCCCCCGAGGACCAGGTCGGCAGCTGTGCACTGGGGCGCCCCTCACAGGCCTGGACCATGCTGGGTGGGTGCGGGGCCCAGGCTCACTCAGCTGAGGTTCACCTGAAAGACAGCCCTTGGGCTCTGACTGCCGGCCTTCCGGACAGGACAGGGGCCCCGGGCTCAGGCTGCCGTCTGCCCTCTGCCTGCTGTTGTCGCCGGGGGCAGTCTCCTGTCCCCCAGGAAATGGTGTCATTGCCACCCTGAGAAGGCGAGGATCCCCATCAGGGGCCCCAGGGCGGCCGGCGGTCTGGGGTTGGGAGGGAAGCTGAGAGCACGTTGTGGGGGAAGACAGAGGAGCAGAGCAGGCGGAGGGGCTTCGAGACCTCAGGGCCCAGCCCAGGAGGGGCCTAGGTGACAGAGGGCAGGGAGGGTGTGTGCAGGGGGTGCTCCAGGTGGAGAGGGGGCCGCTCACCCGCACAGACCACGGCCTTCTCTGAGCGAGACGGGGCCTCCTGCAGCCAGTGGGCCCAGGGGTGCCGCCCCCAGCAGGACCCTCTCCTGACTGCTTGCTGTCAGTCGCCTCCCACGTTCATCCTGGCTTCTGGGGTCTCCTCCAGGGAGGTAGACTTGGGGTGTTCCTTCCTCCTCTGCCCATCCCCCATCTCCTGCCTCCCTAACCGTCACAGGAAATGGCTTCACCAAGCCCTGAGCGACAGCGCATGGTGGGGCGACAGCGGGGAGCAGGAGAGGGCACGGATGTTGGGTGCCATCAGCTCTTAGGGGACAGTCCCCATCTTCCAGAGCCAGGGCCACAACTTCCGAGGTGTGTGTATGTGTGTGGGGGTGTTCGCGTCCCAAGGGCCCCAGGGACTGAGGTGAGGGTGCGGTGGGCCGTGCAGATGTGCGTGGTTCCCAGGGGCTCTCCAGCAGCAGAGGGGCAACCGACCTCTGCTGTCCCGGCAGCCCCCTGCGGACCCGGCCCTGCCCCTCAGGAAGACCTGCTCAGTCTGCACCCATTTCCCAGCCGGGCCCTCGGGCCCCTGCGCATCCTCCTTGGGGAGCTGCTCAGTCCTCAGAGTTCCCATCACCCAGGGCTGCAGGACCCCTCCTCCCCCCGTCTGGACTCACCATCGCAGCTGTGCCCCCCGGCTGCCTCTTGCCAGCTGTCGTCTGTCTGTCTGTCTGTCTGTCTTTGAGGCTAAGGAGGCTTCAGGAAGCCAGCTTCCTCCCTCCGCCCCTCCTAGCTGCCACCCACGCACACCCCGCCGCTCTCCTGCTGCCGCCAGGGGTCGGTGCCTCCTGCTGTGCCCCTCAGGGGACAGGCTGGCAGTGTCCTCCAACCTCTGCCCTGAGACCAAGGCCCTGCTCCTGGGACTGGATGAGACTGGACATTCCCGACCACCCCAACTCCTCTGCTCCAAACCCTTTTCCGAGCTGTTTCTCTGCTGGGCTGGTCGTGTGCCCTCTGTGGGCAGAGCTCAGCGGACCCCAGGTTGCTGCGGCTCAAGCTGACCTTGGCCAGACACTGATGCCCACATCTCTGCTTCTGCCTCCACACCCTGGCCCTGGACACACTGGCCCTTCCAGAGTGGGGCGCTCACGGTCAGGGACAGGCGTGTCAGAAAGGCCCGGGCCAGGCCCAGGGGTCATCCCAGGCCCTGCGCCACAGCCCAGCTCCCAGCTGCCTCTGGTCGGAGGTGGGCCAGCCACCTGGGAGAAGGTAGCAGAGACAGCTCCTAGGAGGGTCTGGAGGGCCTTCCCGGGTCCCCGGCCCCCTCCGGGCCCCCGCCCCAGAACCCTGACTTGACTCAGAAGACTGACAGACAGCAGACAGCCCTCACCCTCACACCAGGGGACGCCCCTGTGTTCCTTGCAGCCGGGGGCCCGGGGCCTGGGGGTGGTCCCCCTGCCCCTCCGACACGCCTCAGCAGGTCCAGCTGGCTCATGCTCGCTGGCTCCCTTCACCTGTAACATCCCAGACACCCTTCCCTCCCCGGCCCCCCACGGCCGTCCTTTCTGTCCCTCCCACTCAGCTGGCAGACGGTGACAGCGAAAAGGAAGATATGTGACGGGCACGGGGGTGGCACGCAGGGGCAGGGGGGCTGGCCCCTGGGGTGCTGGAGGTGAACAGTGAGACCCTCTGGGGCCTGGGGCCTCCCAGCGGGGCCCTCGTTCTTGGGGAGCGGACGGGCTCTCTGTGGTCAGCTGGCCCTGGCCCCTTCCTCCTTCCTCTGCTCCCCGGGAGGTGGTTTTCCCACAAGGAGGCTGGTCGAGCTGGGTGTCCGCTGAGACCAGGGAGGGGCAGAAGCCTGGGAGTCCCTGGATACCTGTGGGAAGTGACCTGAGTCTGGCCTCTGCCTCAGCCGCCTCTCAAACCTGACAAACAGGCGGCAGGAGGGGATTGGAAAAGGGGCCCCCCTCTGGGCCAAGCTGAGGATCATCATCAAGAACAGGAAGCCAGGGGAGCACAGGGTGGGAGGAGGAAGTGGGCAGGCCTCCCGCAGGGTGGCCAGTACTCCTGGTCTCCACGGCCTGAGCCCGGCCGGCTGAGCACCCTGACCTCCCGCGGCTGCTGGGGCAGCAAGAGAGGCTCTGGAGGCTGAGCTCCCGGGGGGGTCGTGGTGGGGTCGTGGTGGGGGTCTGGTGGGGTCGTGGTGGGGGTCGTGGTGGGGGTCATGGTGGGGGTTGTGGTGGGGTCGTGGTGGGGTCGTGGTGGGGGTCGTGGTGGGGTCGTGGTGGGGGTCGTGGTGGGGTCGTGGTGGGGGTCGTGGTGGGGTCGTGGTGGGGGTCGTGGTGGGGGTCGTGGTGGGGTCGTGGTGGGGTCGTGGTGGGGGTCGTGGTGGGGGTCGTGGTGGGGGTCGTGGTGGGGTCGTGGTGGGGGTCGTGGTGGGGTCGTGGTGGGGGTCGTGGTGGGGTCGTGGTGGGGTCGTGGTGGGGTCGTGGTGGGGGTCGTGGTGGGGGTCGTGGTGGGGTCGTGGTGGGGGTCGTGGTGGGGTCGTGGTGGGGGTCGTGGTGGGGGTCGTGGTGGGGGTCGTGGTGGGGTCGTGGTGGGGTCGTGGTGGGTTCGTGGTGGGGTCGTGGTGGGGGTCGTGGTGGGGTCGTGTGGGGTCGTGGTGGGGTCGTGGTGGGGTCGTGGTGGGGTCGTGGTGGGGTCGTGGTGGGGTCGTGGTGGGGGTCGTGGTGGGGTCGTGGTGGGGGTCATGGTGGGGGTCGTGGTGGGGGTCGTGGTGGGCACCGGGCAAGACTCTGAGTTCAGTTCCTGGAGCTGATTTCCCTTTGAGTGTGTTTGGGGGACAGTCCCTCCGGCCCAGTCCTTCCCTCCTCCCGCTTAGAAATGCCTGGACATCAGGGAGGTGGGGAGCCCCGAGGGGGACAACAGCCCCTCCCCAGCCTGGGACACCCCACCTGCCCTCCCAGGCCGGAGGTCCCTGGGACTGACCCTTCCCCTCCAAGACCTTCCCATGCCTGGCGCGGACCTGCCTCCCAGAGTTGGGGTGAGGTGCCAGCCTCCCTGACTCTAGAGAAAGCCCCAGTTGAGCCTGCTGCTGAGAGGGGTGGGGTGGACCTCGGAGGCTGGTGTGAAGGCGGGAGCCCCCTGGGCAGGTCCTGGGGCCCTGCCTCCCTGTGGGCCAGCTGGGGGCCTATCCCCCACCTGGCCCAGTTTCTCTGACACCCCGGTGCCTGCTGGTGGAGGGGACTCTCCGCCCCACACACCTCACCCCCTGGCTGGAGGACCCGAGAATCAGGCAGGGACCCAGGTTCCCGCAGGAGGACTCAGGGCAGAGACGGTCCCTTCCCCTCTCCCAGGCCTGGACCCGGTCACCCAGCCCACAGTGTGGCCCCTTCTCCCCTGGGGCCCCTACCCGCCCCCCCCCCCCCCGGATGCCCAGGCGAGGCTCACAGAAACCTGTACTGCGCCCGGCCCCGCCCCAGCCCCTGCTGCCCTCCCGCAGCCTGGTCAGCGGAGCCAAGGCCACTGTCCGGGTGACCTTCCCAGGCTGTGGGAGGGACAGGCTGCGCTCTCCGGCCTGGTGCCTCGCCTCCCCAGTGTGGGGGAGGGGGCCAAGGCTTCATGAAGGCCACTGCCTGGGACCTCTCCTGCGTCCTCGCCTCCCGCTGGCCTATCCAGGAGACGGAGAGGTGCTCTGAGACCTTGGGAGGACCCAGGGCTCTCTAGGGAGAGGATGTGGGTTTGACTGGGAGTGGCTGGTGGGGACGAGACAGCCCTGTGGGACTATTTTTTGCTGAATGGCAAGGCTGGGGCTGGGGAGGGTGTTATCTTCCTGCAGCCGATCCACAGCCCTTACCCCACCCCCGCTGCCCCAGGCCGGTGCTGCCTGGCAGGTACCCCTCTGTGGCAACTCTTGGGAAGGGTCTGAGACCCCCCTAGACCGTGTCTGCTACATCTATTCCCCTTAGATTCCGAATCAGGGTGTTTCCACCCACTCCTCCCCTATCTGCTGCTTCTGAGACTCTGCTGGAGGTGCCCCAGATGAGGGTGCATGGGGTGGGAGTCCTAGCGGCGGGGGGGGGGGGCCTCCCCTTCCCATCAGCTTCTCTAGTTGCCCTCCCTACCTCTTCGAAAGAGCACACGTGTGCATGATACGCACATGCACACACACAGCTGGAAAATTGATGAGTCTGCAGGGCTCAGGTTCCAGGCCCGTCCAGGCCCCGGTGGGTGGCTCTGAGGTTTGGGTGGGAGGAGCAGGGGAGGGGCCGGCAGCCAGCTGGGCCTGAGCTGGAAGACAGCAGAGCCCGGTCTCTGCAGGCCTGTCATCCCTGCCACAGAGCTGTGGGAGACTTGATCTCGGGAAGGACACACAGAATCTTGATAGTGATGCAAGAGAAGACCAGTGTGCGTGACCGGGCCGTAGGTGGTGGGGGAAGAGATGGGGGGGCAGCTTGGGGCTGGGTGGAGGCTTTGAGCTTCATGGGTGAACCATGGGGAGCTCGGGGGATTGCTGACCACGGAGCAGTTCGGTTTCAGGAAGGCGGTGAGGAGGGTGAGCTGGGAGACCGTTCCTGGCACACCTGTGTCTTATTTCCAGCAGGGTTTTCTTGTCCCTTCCAGGCGGGCTGGGTGTTGGTTGGTGGTGGTGTCACTGAAGCTACCCCCCCGGTTTGAGTTCTTGGGGAACACATGTGTGCATGTGTCTGTGCACGCACAGGGGTGCACCGTGTCCTCACGCCTGGAGCTCAGACACGGCTGACAACTGCTGTGTGCTTGGTGGGACCTGGGGGCAAGGTGTCCCTGTTCACATGTCCCTGCCCTCCTCCCCACAGGGCTACACCTACACGCAGGAATTCAGTGCCACCCAGGAAACCCTGGAGGACTCTGGTGGCTGGTGTAGGAACAGGGGGTCCCCATCATCGTTCACACTGGCTGCTGGCGGGGAGAACCAGAGGGTGAGCACGCTTGCAGTCCCCCATCTTGACCACCAGGTGGCACACCTTCTCCTTGCAGGAGTAGCTGGGGTATCAGGTCCCGCAGGAGTGAGGCCAGTCAGGCCTGGGGGTGGGTGGAGGCTGGGGGACCAGGTTCTCAAGGTCCCACCGGCCTCTGCGGTTTCTCATTGTGTCCACTGGATTTTGCTCTTGGCACAGAGGACCGCCAGGGTGGGTGCCAAAGGTGGGGCACCCTGCACCCTGCCTTTCGGCAAGCCTGTGGAGGCCTCCTCTGAGTCCTGCCCGGCGCAGGGCCCTTGGGCAGAGAGCTGCTGAGTCCGCCCTCCAGCTGAGCAGCGAGGCGAGCCTGGTGGAGCCCAGCGGCTGCCTTCCAGGCCCAGGGGCCACATGAGAGGTCGGGTGAGCGTGCTGGAGTCCAACCAGAAGCCCGAGTCCAGCCCCTCGCCCTGGACAGCAGGAGCTGAGGACAGGCGAGGATGAAGCCAGAGCTGTGGGTAAGTGAGGCTGGAGGTGCCGGCGATCTAGGAAGGCCCGAGGCAGGTGGTGAGGGTCTGGTGTGCAGGTCTGGGGGAAGGTCTCCGGGAAGATAAGGCAAACATGGGAGACATGAGCCTGCTCCGACCCTGCACTGGGCCTTGGCTCCAGCAGAGACCAGAGACCGCAAAATGTCCGGCTAAGAGGGCAGGGAATCGACTCCAGCTGTAGCCACATCCCCCAGCTCCCCAGGGCCTGGGGTTCCAGCCTCAAGGTGGTGGAGCTGCAGCTGCAGCTCTGGCCACCAGGTGGCGCCAATCTGTTGCTTTTCGGGCTCGGACAGCCTGAGACTCCCTCAGCCGGGACGTGGGCTGGGTCCTGGGAGCAGGATCGAGGTGGTCCCGGGGCCTGAGACCTGGCTGAGCCGCATGCAAATCACACTCAGCGGGTGGACATGCACACCCATGTCTTAGGGGGCAGGGCAGGGCAGGGCACTCAGAGAGGGGCTCCTTCCCATGGCCCAGCATCCCATCCCAGGTGGCAGGGAGCCCCGCCCAGCTTGGCCCCTCTCAGGACAACCCCCTTCCCTCTCCCAGGAGACAAGGCGACCAGGACCAACCCTGAGGTCCAGTTCTAGGACTGCCCCATCTGCGGGGTGACCAAACCACTTTCTGGGGTCTCAGTTTCCTCCTGTGCCTATGGAGACTCCCCAGGCTTCCAGAGGGCGTGCTCCGAGGCCCGTGCGACCCGCCGCGGTCCCTGCAGACCAGAGGGTCTGAACGCAAGCCCAGGCCCGGGACCAGGTGCGGTTCTCTGAGCGCCGCGCTGCTCGGCCTGGTTTCTCTGCTGCGGCTTCTTCCCTGGACGGAGCGCCCGCCAGCCAGAGGGAGGAGGGAGGGCGTGAGCCCGGCGCAGTCTCCTTGACTCCTCCTCCACCGCGTCTCCCTCCCTGGCCAAGCCCAGCCCGCGGATCGGAGTAGCGCACTCGGCAATGCCCGCGCCGCTCTGACTGCGCGTCCCGACTCCGCCGCTGAGCCCGGAGCAGAGCCCGCGGGCCGTCCTCCCCTCGCGCCCCGGCGACGGCGCATCGCCCGCCCAGCCACGCACCCGGTGCGCCGGCAGCCCTCCGCCAGGTGCCCGGCCGGCCGCCGCGATGCCCCGCGCGCCTGGGCTGCGTGCGCTGTGGCTGTGCGCTGTGCTCTGCGCCTCCCGCTGCGCGCTCCAGCCCGGGCCGGGGCCCGCCGCCTGCCCGGCCCCCTGCCGCTGCCAGGAAGACGGCATCATGCTGTCGGCCGACTGCTCGGAGCGCGGGCTCTCCGCTGTGCCCGGGGACCTGGCGCCCCTGACGGCTTACCTGTGAGTACCCGCCGGCCGTGGCCCTGCGCCCCTATGCCTGTCCAGCCTCAGTCTGGGGCACCTGCTGGGTGGGTGCACTGCTCATGGGCATGGGGGGCTCTCCCCCTCAGTGGACGGACCACTGGGGCGGGGGTGGGAGAAGAGACAGACTGAACCGACAAGCAGAGCGCTGGGCTCCCCTCCTGGTCTCCCGGCCCCCCCTGTCTCCTGGGCTCAGCTTGGTAGGAGGCGGGTCTCTGGACCTTGACTGGAGGGACCTGGCCTGGTGGCCCCTTGTCCTCAGAGAGCGTGGCTGAAGGTGAAGTTGAGGGAGTTGGAGGAGGAGAGGGGAGAGGCTCCAGGGGCGGAAAGGTTTGTTCCTCTGTGGTGGCCAGGACAGCAGAGCCGGCACACTGAGGTTAGGTGGCCATGGAGGGGTCCCAGAAGCTGGGAAGGAGCCTCACCCACTCTCGTCTCCTCCCAAAGGGACCCTGCCGGCACCATGCCCCTTCAAGGAGGCCTGCTGGCTCCCCCAGGGGCCTCCGTGAAGTCACGTCCCAAGAGGCCGTGCGGAGACTCTAATTTGTGGGCAGGCGCCGAGGCTGAAAACCAGAGAAGCATTTTCAGTCTGAGTCGGGGTGAGATGACGCGTGAAGGGGACCCTGCTGGGGACCGCTGTCCCAGGACAGCTCAGGGGAGCTTCCCCTCAGAGTCAGGGCTGGGGGCTCAGGCTGTGGTGCCCTGGGCAGGAGGGTGCACGAGCTCACTCCCACCCTGCTCTGGGCAGGGAGAGGACCCCGCTCAGCCCCGCAGGCTCTCGCAGCTTTGTCAGAGGCGGGAGCAGGTGGCACCCTGGGCCCTCTGGGCCGGGGCTGGGCTGGGGCCTGCGGCTCTCTGGCCCCAGGACCCAGGAACTGAGGGAGGACAGCGGGACGGTCTCACAGGACTCTGGCACATCTGTTGAATGGGACCAGGGTGCTCAGTGCTGGCGCGTCCTGGGTAGGGGTCCTCCTTCACAGGTCCCCTTCCTCTCTACACCCCGAGTTGGGATATACCCCCCCACAACTCCAAGAGGCACAGGTGGGGCCAGAGGAGGGATGGGGGGATGGTGTCCCTGTTCCAGAAGGGCACACGGAACCCTCCCAGGCCAGGGGCTCAAGCATGGGCACAGGCTGCAGGCCAGGCCCGGGGGCGAGGACACCCAGGCAGCTGGAAGAGGGTCACTCGCCCTGCTCCCAGCCTCCCCCAGGGCAGCCCACCTGTGGCTGGTTCATATATTGGGGCACCTGACCTCAATTCATTTGAGCACAGGGTCTGTGGCTGAAGAGAGTTTGGAAATCGGGGTGGGGGCAGAAGAAAGGGACCTTTCCTGTGCTGAGGGGCTGGGCGGGGGCGGGTCACACCTTCCAGGCTGACTGGTCCTTTCCCAGCCCCGTCTTCCTGGCCAAGAGCTTGGGGAAGGAAGGTGCGCGCCACCTGGGGAACCCAAGCGTCCGTGGCCCACGCTCAGGAAGATGGAAGATTCCACCCCCATCACCCCCATTCCTGTCACAGTTCCCCAGGCCGAGAGGGCTGCCTTGGGGTTCAGTGGAGGTGGGATGTTCTGGGGACCGAGAGAGCCCCTCTGTCCTGAGACGCAGCGTGTGTTCTGACAGCGGGAGGGGCAGAGCTGATGTGGGGAGTTTGGTGGTGGGCTCTGGAACAGGGGGGGAGATGAGAGAACCCTGTCCCTGCCTTGGGCTGTGCAGTGGTCCCATCTGGTGGTGATGAAGGGTCTGTGGGAGCTGCTGGCCGGAGGATGGTCAAGGGGGAGCCTCCTCCCTTTGCCTCTTGGGGAGCAGCCCAGCCACCCGCACACGGGGTGGGGGGGCAGCAGCAGAGGGTTGTCCTGGGGCCCCTCCTCTTCTCACTGATGTTGGAGGTTGATGCTCTGGCCCAGGACGGTGCAGGTTTGGGGACGGTGCAGGTTTGGGGACGTGACCGCAGTCCCCATCTGGGCCACCCAAACCCAGTTCCTTCTCGGCTCCTCCACCGGTGGAGAGAAGAGCCCCAGGCTCTCCCTCTGTCTGTGGAGAGAGGGCACCTGGAGGGCGGAGTGAGGTCGCCTGGGTGTTTAAAGCCCAGTGCCCGGCATGAACGGGGTGTCATCACGCCCCCCTGGTGTTCAGTGGACAAGCAGGAAGTTCCAGGGCCCTTCATGCAGGGGGAGGCTGAGCCCTGGGGGTGCAGGTCCCAGGGGTGATCTGTGCTGGGGCAGGAGGAGCAGCCGCTCTTGGTCAAGCTTGGCCGTTCTGGGGCTTGGGGTCCAACCAGCTGGTGAACATGGGGGTGGGTGGGAGGGTGGTCACTCAGGCCTTCCTGACTCTGGGTCGAGAAGGTAAAGGTTAGACGGAGACATTGGGGCAGAGGAAGAAGCAGGCCAGAGGGCACTCGAGATGCTGAGAGGGAGCCGTGGACGAACCCTCTGGGGTCCCTAGGTCCTTGGGTCCTTGACCTCTGCACCCCAATACGTAACACCGTGCAGCTGCTTCCCCCACTTGGGCGAGCGCCCCTCCCCCGCCAGTGCCTTTCAGGCAGGGCTCACCTGCACCTCCCACCTGGGTTCCAGGGAGGACCAGGCATCTCCGCGTCCCGCCGCCGTCTCTGCATCTACCTCAAGCCCAGAAACAGCCGCTTGGGTCCCTGTCGGGTCCCAGCTGGAGGACGGCGCCAGGTACCCTGTCCTCCGGGTGACGTGTTTTCAGGCCGCCTCCCAAACTGTTGTCTCCGTAGGAGGGGCCTGTTCTGGGACCCTGGGGGACAGGGGGACAGCAAGGCCCCTGCTCCATCCCATCCCATGTCCGTTCAGTGAAGGGACAGGACCAGACAGACCCAGGGCCATCCTGAAGCAGGGGAATTCGAGTCCCTCCGTCCACTCCAGGGTGGGCAGTGTCCGGAGTGGGTGGCGTGCTGGTGGGAAGAGACCTGAGACCCCTCCGCTGGCCCTCACCCCTGGGCACCATTCCTGCTGGGGGCGGGGCCAAGGCAGGTGCCGCCACGCTCCATGCGGCTCGTAGACTCTCTCGGCCTGCGTGGCCCACGCCCTTCGGACTCGCGGGATCGCATTCGACCCGCTAGGTGTGTGGATTCCGGGGGTCGCAGTCCCCTCAGCGCCGTCTGGGTGCTGTGACCGCCGGGGTGGAGGGTCGGGAGCACGGTGTGGCCACAGCAGGCAGGGTCCGGTGAGCCTGGCCCGTACACGACCCCGTGACTCAGTTCCCTCCTCTGGGGAAGCAGCCAGGGTCGTGTGGCGTCCCCGCGGGGATGCGGTAAAGGGTTTGGCAGTGTCTGGGCCGCAGGAGGGGCTCGGTCAGTGTGTGTCGGCGTTATGAGGGCGGCCAGGGCCAAGAGGTGTCCTCATGGAAGACTCCCTGGAGGAGGCCGTCCTGGGGGTGGCCCTGGGAGGGGAGGAGGAGCCCTGTTTGCGAAGGGCGGGGCTGTGGGAGGGCGGAGTGGCCGGGTGGGGGCAGAGGCAGGGGGTGGGAGAGTCCGTCCATCCCAGGCTCCAGACGGGCTCCAAGGGCCTGGGCTACGAAGAACTTGGCGAGGGTGTGCGCAGGGTCAACGCCGGGCCTCATTTCACCTCCGAGGCCCCCTTCCTCTCTGATGAGTTCTAACAGCCTGAGCGGCAGCCCCCCCCAAGTGTGGGCTCCGTGAATCTGGCCTCGGCCCCCCATTGCTCTGCTCCCAAACTTTCCCGGACTTCAGAGTCCACACATTCGGCTGAACGACGAGAGTCCGGAGAGGCAGGGAGAAGCCACCTTTGAGCCAGGTCTGGCAGGATGGAGAGAGCCCCGGGGGTGCTGGGCAGCAGGGGGGCAGCACCCCGACCAGGGCAGAGAGGAGAAAGCAAAGAAGGGAGCTGATTCCAGGAAACAGCCCCCTGGAGGCAAGCCCGTCAGAGGGCAGCCCCCGGGCCGGCCGCTGGAGGAGGGTGAGGGTGGGGAGCCAGCGCCCCAGTTCAAAGGGAAGGCAGGAAGCAGCCGCAGGCAAGAGAAAGAGGAAATGTCTGGATCTGGCCGCAGCGGGCATGGGGTGCGGCCGGGCGGGGCAGCTGGCGGAGGAGAAGAAAGTCTGGCTCAGAGCAGAGTTGGCCCCCCGCCCGCCCTCCCCTGTCTCGTGGGCTCACAACCTGGTGGTCCCTTCCTGCCCCGCCCCGAGCTCACCCGGAGGAGGCAGAAGGCAGGGCCGCCAAGCGCCTGGCAGGAGGCCGGGGTGTGCCAGTCCCCAGGCTCGAGCTGTGCGTCTGGGGCAGTTCGTCAACCTCTCCCGAGTCTGCACTGAGTTCTTCAGCTTGGAAATGGAAGCCGAACCGTGTGCACCTGGAGGGCGGTGGGCGGAGCAGGCAGGCAGACAGGCAGACAGACAGACAGCAGGCGTGTGCCCTCCCATCCTGCCGTCCTGTGGGTGCTCAGTGAGCTTTCTCGACACCTCGGCTACACACGGACCACAGCGGCCCTGGAAGGCAGTGTCAGCTGGGCAGGCGGGATTCCGGCTGCCAGGGTCTAACCCGGCTTCGTCAGACTGCCCGCCCGCCCGCCTCCCTCCGTCGTCCATTGTTCCTACTACAGACCTGGCCCACTGACTCCCAGGGAGGTGGCCTTTCCCCGGCGGTTCTGCTCCTGGACTCCCGGCCGGATGGGGGAGGTGCCCCTCTTCAGGGGACACATGGGTGGCCTGGCACCTGATAGGATGCTGTTCAAAGAGGAAAAGTCTAGGCGCCTGCAGAGTCCAGCTTCTCCCCAGAGTCGGAGTCCAGAGTCCATGACGTCAGTGTCCCCTCTGGTAGCCCGAGGACAGGCAGGTGTGGATGGACGCTGGGGCGTGCGGTCCATGGCTGCCCTGGGACGTGCCCCGAGGGGCCGGCAAGGATCTCCTCCGAGCTCACCCCTGAAGTAAGGCGCTGTGCTGGGAGCCGGGCCGAGGACAAGGAGCCCTGCTGGGCTTTGGACACAGGGAGGCACTGGAGACGGCGTGGGGGG